ACATCACGGAAGTAGTGGTTGGTGAAGGCGGTGTCCGATCGCCACAAACGGGCTTCCCTGAACGACTGGATGGAACAGTATACCGTGAAGAACCAGTGTAAATACGATCGCCCTGATCTCGTTTTATTTCAGGTGATAGCCTTTGGGGGGAGGGTCCAATCCGGCGGCTTCATAAGCTTTAAGGATGACCGCCCGGAGCCACAGGGAAAAGTATTCCGGCTGACCAACGACTGCGACGAAGGGGAGACCGGCAGAAAAAGGTGTTTCCTAGACTTGCGGCAGTCTTTAGATCGTCGTAGAATAACCTTCAGTGCCCTTACTGGGCATAATGACGCTCTTCCTCATCCTCGGCACCCACAATGGACGAGGGGGGAGGGGACAAGGAATGATCTATCAGGCTGTCTTGGGAGTTGAGTCTTTACGCTGACGTCCCAGTACGGTCCATGATGAACGGCGCCCTGGGTACCGCATTCAAACCGGGCACGGGAGACGTCGAGGGCTGGCTGTACATGGACTCGAGGGGCAGTAGTCAAAACCAGTAGAAACACCCGTCTTCTACTTAAGGTCGTAGAAGGAAGACGAGGGGAGTGGTTCGAAGGGCGTTGAAGACCACATTCAGATCCAACGCAGGCGGTCCGAACTTGGCCTTCAGGTCTTCAAGACTGAACGAGCGCAGCCAGGCCCGTATGTCGGGAATTTTCGTCTTTCTCCGATCGTCCGGGATGGCCAGAACGGAGTAGATGGCGACCAGGTACGTGGGGGTGGTAAGCCCTTCAACCGACGGGTGCTACGCAAGTACAGAAGGAACTTATCCAGGATCTGCGGTGACGCTGTCATCGGACCCTGGTGTTTGTCAGAACAAAATGCCTGGAACGAGCATCATTTATCAGCATACAGTCCCCCTGTAGATGGACGGTGGGCTGAAGCAATAGCCTTGGTCGCTCTAGCCGAATAGCCCTTGGCTTTCTGCAGTTGTGTCAGGCGTGAAGACGAGAACATGCGGGTATTAGGGTGTGGCAACAGACCGTGTGGATGGAGCAGAAGGTTGGACCACACCGGAAGTTCCAGGGGTTGTCTCTGGCTATGTTTCGGAGGTCGATAACCCAACTTCTGGCTGGCCAATAAGGCGAGACCAAAGTCAATGGCAGGGGTCGAGTGGCCTGGATCTCTGAAGAACCGTGGGAGGGAGAGCCGGAGTCGGAAAAGCGTACGCGCGTAATCCTTCTCAGGAACGACTGAAGGCTTCGACTGCCACAGCGGTCGTATCCGGCACAGGTGGAATGGAAGACGACAGCTGGCAACATTCAGATATGAGGCAAACAGATCTAGGGTTTGGGTGTCGACCGTATGACATAGTCTGGCCAGAGGCGCCGGAGAGCGTGAGGCGTCGGAGATCTTGAGGCGCCTGGAACGCCGGAGATGGTGATTCTCGGGGGCGCCGGTCGAGTTTGTAGCGCCGGGAGAGGGGCGAGTACTCTGGGTCCGCAAACACCACACTACGGTGACGTCGTCAGTGGACACGATCAACAGGGCGTGACCGAGAATGCACTGTCAGCAAGTGACGTCCCGGATAAGCCTTTATCTCGAGGCTGTTGCTGTGCCAATGGTGTTGATCTCTGGATCACAGGTGGTCACAATGTGGGCTGGTGTGTGCCACTAGCCACTGACAAGGTGGCATGGGAGGTAGTCAGCAACAGGGGTCTGCGATTGCGTACCGTCGGTGCGATTCGGAAAAAGGTGTGATCGCCTGCGAACCAACCTCAAGTAGACAAAGTAAACCAGCTTCACAATCGACCGCCGGGGCATCGACGTAACCAGGTAGTAGGAAGTCGAGGCAATATGTCCATTGCACGAAGTAATGAGATCGTTTTCATCCCTGAAGCGGCGTATAAGTACTCCTGTTCTTATATCGAGGTGACGATGGAGGACGACAACACGATACGAGGCAGGTATGCAACAGGGGTCAGTGGGACGGCCGAGGGACTTTAAGTATCAAATCGACACTGTGTCCGGTAGTCAAGGCGGAAGATAGGAAGGTGTCGTAGTCGAAAAGATCAAACCGGACGAAGGAAGGCGATCTTTTCCATCCCTTGAACGCCTATAGGCGCTATCGTTCTTATAGCGAAGGGTTGATGAAACAAGGTTCCTCGTGACAGCCGTGTTGGTAGAGGAGGTCTATTGTTTCCAACATTCATGCATGGATGGACTGCGACAGGCGCCTGGTTGAGAGGTTGCACCAAGCGTACAGGTAGACATGGAAACCAATCTGTAGAAATACATGGCACCCCTTGCCATGGTAAGTTGACCTAATTCCGGTCGGAACTGAGGTGCAAACTCCACACACAGACAATCCTCAATGAACTGTGTGAGAGACGAACAAGTGGTGTACCCGAGTTTTGCGATAAAACACGGAACCCAAAGGCATCGTGGAAAACCCGTGGAGAGCCGAGGAAGAGTCTCTTTCAGGAACGCTGGCGCTAGGGTAGGGTAGAACAGCGTTGGTGTCGGCGATGTCGACAAAGTAAACTCTTTATAAGTGGATGTCGTCGTCGAATCTGATACAGACGATGTTCACATGACGCTCTGTTTCGATGGAAACCCGCAGGTCATCTCTCCGGAATCATAGCGCTTTAAACGACGGGATTATGGATAACGTCTCAGTGGGCAAGTTAACACAGACCAACTGTCTATTGGTTGAAAAGATTCCACCCAGGAGGTAGAACGATAGTCACGATCCCGAAGACCGACGTGAGAGTAGCGACAGGAGTGGCGACAGTTGTTTCACCATGCTTCTCCATGTGAAGATGAGACGGCAGCAAGAGAAGAAGAGGGCAGTGGCGCCGGGGAGGCGATTGCCGATGGTGCCCCTGATGTCCCGGCGCTCCTGGCGCCTCTGACATCAGAGGCGCCGGAGGCGCCGAGAGCGCCGAGACATCGCCGAGAGCGCCGGGACATCAGAGGCGCCGAGACAGCGCCGAGAGCGCCGAGACATCAGAGGTGCTGGAGGCGCGGAGAGCGCCGGGAGCGCCGAGAGCACCGGGACATCAGAGGCGCCGGGACATCAGAGGCACCGGGAGCGCCGGGACATCAGAGGCGCCGAGAGCGCCGGGACATCAGAGGCGCCGGGAGCGCCGGAGGCACCGGGACATCAGAGGCGCCGAGAGCGCCGGGACATCAGAGGCGCCGGGAGCGCCGGGACATCAGAGGCGCCGAGAGCGCCGAGACATCAGAGGCACCGAGAGCGCCGAAACATCGGGGCACCGGGAGCGCCGGGGGCATCAGAGGCACCGGGAGCGCCGCAACATCGGAGGCGCCGGGAGCGTCGGAGACATCAGCGTTGATGTGGTGGTGTTGGAGACCGTGAACGGTCGTATGTATGTGCCATGTGCGTGATTTTGCGTCAGTCATGGCGTCACACAGGACGGTAACTTTGGAATGATTTGATATTTTCAACAGAAATTGTCAATGTATCTATTTTAAATTCCCTATTTCTTACAACGATTCTCTTCCTATGAATATTCTGCAAATGTTGAGCCAATATTTTGAACGAATAGACGAATGGATAGCTCAAAATAGGAGAAAATGCTACAGTGTGTAAAATCTGTATTTTGCTTTGTTTACATTTCAAACAAGTGCAGTTTTTTGAGCACAGCGTTCGTTTTCAAACCTAACTTATATTGCATGATTTCATCCAGCCACTTCGTATTGGTGACAAAGACCATTGTTCATTCGATTCTAAAGGAATTCAAGGATGTGTGTATCGAAGCTCAGTTTGAAATATACGGTATGTTACAGGCGCCTCATAACCGGTGTACCTGAAACGTGATTTTGTCAACACTATCCAATATGGCGGAAAGTTCACTTCGGCGTTCGTGTTTGCGTATTTTCCAAAACATTCTAAACGATTCTAGGGTTATCGGAGACGTTTTGGAATGATCATTGGTGATTTCATAAAGGACAGATGCCCGTGATCACTAATATGCTATTTTTGAAATTCATTTCTCGGGAGTAAATATCAAATTTTAGATTTCAAAACATGCTGTAAAAAACGTGGTGAGTGTTGATTTAGTAATGTGTAAAAATGGCGACATTTACAAGTACCTAATTTTCAGAGGTCATTTTTTGTACTTTTGCTTGGCCTAAAATGCCAATTGATGATATCATAGAACAGGGAATCTCCCACCTTATTCAAAACAGTGAAGTGTATTAGTGTGCATGATGTATGTTGAATTTTATTCGACTTCAAAGTGAGGGTTTGAGGACATATATGTCCCTGTGGCATCCAGGGGGTTAACGCTGCTTTTAACAGTATTCCAGTTATATTGCAGCGTGTCAGCTTAATGTGGGAGGAAAGCCAGAAGTGATGCAGGTTTCAGACGTTTACCACTTCGGTGAAACTCACGAGTGGGTATGGTGCTGACAAACCTAGAAACATAATCGGGGTGAACCGGGATTCGAACCCACAATCATAGGTTTCTGGCATGCCCAAGGGACGCAACTTTGCACAGCGAATCGCGGCGCCTTAGACGACTGGGCCACCTGTGCCCCCTCATAATGCACGAACATGCAAAGTATGTCAGAGCAATATTTGGTGTGAAGACAAAACCTGTTTATAACGCTTATAATGAAATCAACTGTAATATTCTATCCTCTAACTCTGCAACTCGGAACATTTATCATCAAACAGATATTCCAAGAGCTTCTTCCAACAATGAATGTAAAAGAGAAAGCTCAAGCTGAGGCAGCATGATTAATATGCATACTCACATTTAATACAATATTTTCTGAATGAAATTGCTTCAACTTATTTCATGAGTGCATGACCATCAATTTGACCTCAACATTTGACACACCCATGACATATGATGGGTGTTCTCTTAGTTATCAAGTGCTCATCTTCACTGATAGGTAAAGGCATTGAATTCTTATGCATTAAACTACTTTTTTCCTGAAGCCAGTGGGAGGTTCTAACTGTCGATTATCCAGGGAACAGTGCCTACCTATCTCTCTGTCCTCAATGACCGACTTGAGTATAGCGACAGCCTCATCCACGTGGAAGCCGTGTAGGTCCAGGGTCCCCTGCTGCATCAAGGATGTCCTGGGGAAACAAAGCAACACCTCACACAGCAGCCAGTGTCTAGCAGTGCTGGAAGAATGTCTGCATGTGCCATCTTGTGCAGTAGTATTCGATGACATTTCTCAGAAAACAGTGATTTTTACACATTTCATTCTTAATTCTAGAATGTTCTGACAACGGACCTATGTTTAGATCTTGTGAGCAAAGAAAGTTATCTCTGTTTATTATCAAGTCAGTTACCTGTGTTCCATGATTTTCTGTGAGGCCCTCATGTTGGCTTCCTTCAGTTTGCATGTGTGCAGATGTCCCTACAATACAAAGTGAAGACTGGTCAAAGGGAGATAACCCACTAGAGACTAGGCCATGACTGGGATGATATTTCATTCAAAATGAGTGCATGTAAAACAGATTTCATTTAATGAGAACTCTGCCAAAATGATGCACATGATTGTTATTTACTTCAAATGTGTAAAACTGCCCCTTGCAATAATCTGACATACCTGCTGTGAATAGAATGAGGCCACTTCCTTCATACCGCGTCGGAAGGCCTCCTGAGCTTTCTGAAAGCACTCATTCCTCATCTTATGGTGTATGTTGGCCTCCCCACGGATGTTGTCGTAGTCCATGCCTCCTGCCCCATCCTGGTACTCCGACGTCCCTGCTGGGTGCTGCTGCTGCTGCCACGACTGGTCAACCTGGGAAGGATTGTTCCTATCACTGCCACAGCATCAACTGTATTCATGGTGGACCTCTCCCACATTAACAAGGCAGGGTCAAAGCCGGTTTTTATCACAAACTTGATGGCTATAGCTAGTCTAAGTGAGTGTGTTGGTAAAACACTGCTTTAAACGATTTGCAGTCATATCACAGCATGTCAGCCTAATGTGTGTGAGTGGTGGGGGAGAGGGATGGGGGAGGGGAAGGAGACAAGTTGGTATCAGCCTGAAATCAAATAAGGACATGGGTCCCTTGTCATGGCATCCAATAATGTTGTATGTCAGTAATAAGTTGTTACTCGGTGTTACACGAACCAGATCTTGGAGACTCTTCTTTTTGGCATTTTCTTTGAGGTCATCATCTCCCATGTTGTGTTGGGCAAATGTTCCCGCCTGCCGTGGTGACCGCGTCCTGCCCACCGCCTCACGTAGGACATCCACGGTCTCCTCCAGGCTGAACCTGTCAAGGCAGACACAGGCAGCAACTACAACAACCACTTATAATAACGGTACAGCCACACACAGCTTTTGTTTGGTCCTGGATGAAAGGTGCAGGTCCCAGGGATAGAATTTAACTCAAAAACAAAACAATCCCAAAGAGCTAGTGGGATTTTCATTCTGCTAGGCCTGCAAAAAGTTACTAGTTCTTATAAAATAAGAAAACTTCCAAATTTCAATCTTTAATTTGACATAAATATATTCAAATATCGAACATTGTCTATATTGCTAAGAATACTACCTCTAATACATCAATGCCATAAACCCTGCATCAGAAGTACTCCCTCCCACCTCCCCAATCATCTGTCTCTCGCAGACTGATGTTTGGAAAGAAGGGAGGTTATTCCTGCCTTCACATACAGAAGAGCTGCTAAAGTGCTAAAGCCGGGACATTTATTTGTATAGACGACAGTAAAGAGGACAGTGATTGCAGCCAAAATACTGGATTTATGGCAAAGACGCAATAGAGGTAGGGTATTCTCAAGAATAATTAAGATACAGAATAAGTCTCTTGTTTAAAGTCCAATATGATTGTTATAGATCAGGTGAACTCGGAAGTTGCCAACATTATGAGAAAAACTTGAAACGTTGTGGCAAATCAATTTGACAGGAGGAAGCAGCAGGGTGATAAATAATTTACAGCATGAACTAGTAGAATTATAATCTTGAATACCCGGGGTAGTTTTCTAATAGCCTCGGGCCTATGGGCATGTATTAATTTCTATCCCTGGATCCAAGTTCTGCTGACAGATGGTTTGATACAGGAATAGAAACAGGAACCGACTCAGAGCACTGCCAGCAGGTTAGCCTATGTTGAAGGAGGCTGGACGCCCTTATCTGATAGGCACCTTCAGATTGAACTGGAGGACATACACCTGGAACCTCAATGATAGGTTGCATGCATGATGCATTCAGCAGCTTCATATTGGGACTGAATAAGCTTCATCACCATATTTGTAACACTCCATCTGAGTAAAATGTTCAGGAGACTCTTCGTATTCTAATTGTCCAGGGGTTCCTCACAGACTTACCCATTTGCTTCAAATATTTCCTCCAGGAAGTTCTCATCGACTCCTGGGAATTGGTTATACAGTTTTTGTCTCTTCAGCTTGGTGGAGATGGCCATCCTATCTCCCGTGGCATCCAGCACCCTCAGCTGCAAACACACAAACAGTTTGTGTGTTGTAACAGCTACCGTATTTTCTTGAGTATAGTGCACACTTTTTTCCCCAAAAAACACAGCTGTGTAGAAGGGGGTGTGCATTAGACATGCAATAATGAGTTTTGATGGTTTTTTCCCCCAACGGAAATACATTACCGTAAACATGTAACACCGGAAATACCATGTCAACAAATCCGTAATGAAGTACGCAAATTAATCATGTAATTACACAGTCTGGCTATAAAAAGTGTTCTTTGGGATATCTGGACTTGTGTTTGAAACTTATTTCATAAATTTTATTAATAATTCCTTTTAGATTTTATTTTTTTATTAATTTTGGCGAAATCTTGTGTGAAACGATCGGAAGATTGCACAACTCACTGTTATTAACCACGTTAACAGCAACCACGGTCAGATTACCGCTATTGACGCCTTGAAACGAACTTTAATTGACAGAAAATGGATACATACCGGTATATCATAAATGCCATACTTTGACTCGTTAAAAGTCATATTTCTTATACATGTAGTTTGACGATTCTATGTCAACACGTAGTTCTCGCAATCACGTGTGCGGGAGCCTCGACGGTGACTGGTCAAACTGGTTCCATGTGAAAAATAACTGGCAATAGCGATCAGCTGCTTCGCTAAGGGTTATAATTATTTTAAATATAGTCATTAAGTAAAAGCTGCAACTAAAATAACAAGATATTGGAATACATTATTCCTGATAAAAAAAATAGTTTCAGATACAATTTTTGCCGATCCTTGCAATTAAAATCCTATAAAGTTATATCATTGGGTGTGTCTCGGCCGAATCACCGGTAGATTCCAAGAAAACGTGTGTACAGCTGATTGTTGTTTCCTGCTTAGTTTACGAGAAAATACACATGGTAATCTTAATCCCTGGATGTAAAACAATGCCTAGCAGAACAAAAAATACATTTAAACGGTAAATCAACATTATCTCTAATTTCAACTTTGTACTGACCAAGTTTCTCATCACCCATTTGTTTACCGGAATTCGCTAAAGGGGTACGGTGTAATTTTTTTCTGCACATAATATTCAATTTAATTTTTTTCCCAAAATACTGAATCCGCTAGAGGAGGGTGCGCATTATACTCAGGTGTGCACTATACTCAAGAAAATACAGTATGTGTCTTCATTACAAATGTCAAGGGGAGAAAGTTTGTAACTAAAGATCTCATTAACATACAACTTTATGGATAAAACTTTCTTTGAACTGTATTTATATTGTGCTTGTTTAATGCCATCCTCAATTATCCAGTGTATTCATATTGAAAATAATAATAGGCCATGTACATTGAACATATTTCTACACCACAGAGGGGCATGCTCACGTTTCTATTTAGATAAATACCATGGACCTATTGTTGACCCTCCTAGTCTCACTTGTTGACCTAGTCTCCTCTGTTGACCCTCCTACAGTCTCCTCTGTTGACCCTCGTACAGTCTCCTCTGTTGACCCTCCTACAGACTCCTCTGTTGACCCTCCTACAGTCTCCTCTGTTGACCCTCCTACAGTCTCCTCTGTTGACCCTCCTACAGTCTCACCTGTTGACCCTCCTACAGTCTCCTCTGTTGACCCTCCTACAGTCTCCTCTGTTGACCCTCCTACAGTCTCCTCTGTTGACCCTCCTACAGTCTCCTCTGTTGACCCTCCTACAGTCTCACCTGTTGACCCTCCTACAGTCTCCTCTGTTGACCCTCCTACAGTCTCCTCTGTTGACCCTCCTACAGTCTCACTTGTTGACCCTCCTACAGTCTCCTCTGTTGACACACCTACAGGCTCCTCTGTTGATCCTCCTACAGTCTCCCCTGTTGACCCTCCTATAGTCTCACTTGTTGACCCTCCTACAGTCTCCTCTGTTGACCCTCATACAGTCTCACCTGTTGACCCTCCTACAGTCTCACCTGTTGACCCTCATACAGTCTCACCTGTTGACCCTCCTACAGTCTCACCTGATGATCCTCATACAGTCTCACTTGTTGACCTACAGTCTCCTCTGTTGACCCTCCTACAGTCTCACCTGTTGACCCTCCTACAGTCTCCTCTGTTGACCCTCCTACAGTCTCCTCTGTTGACCCTCCTACAGTCTCCTCTGTTGACCCTCCTACAGTCTCCTCTGTTGACCCTCCTACAGTCTCACCTGTTGACCTAGTCTCCTCTGTTGACCCTCCTACAGTCTCCTCTGTTGACCCTCCTACAGTCTCCTCTGTTGACCCTCCTACAGTCTCCTCTGTTGACCCTCCTACAGTCTCACCTGTTGACCCTCCTACAGTCTCCTCTGTTGACCCTCCTACAGGCTCCTCTGTTGATCCTCCTACAGTCTCCCCTGTTGACCCTCCTATAGTCTCACTTGTTGACCCTCCTACAATCTCACCTGTTGACCCTCATACAGTCTCACCTGTTGACCCTCCTACAGTCTCACCTGTTGACCCTCATACAGTCTCACCTGTTGACCCTCCTACAGTCTCACCTGTTGACCCTCATACAGTCTCACTTGTTGACCTACAGTCTCCTCTGTTGACCCTCCTACAGTCTCACCTGTTGACCCTCCTACAGTCTCCTCTGTTGACCCTCCTACAGTCTCCTCTGTTGACCTACAGTCTCATCTGTTGACCCTCCTACAGTCTCACCTGTTGACCCTCCTACAGTCTGTCTTGTTGACCCTCCTACAGTCTCCCCTGTTGACCCTACTACAGTCTCCTCTGTTGCCCCTCCTACAGTCTCCTCTGTTGACCCTCCTACAGTCTCACCTGTTGCCCCTCCTACAGTCTCACCTGTTGCCCCTCCCAGTCTCACCTGTTGCCCCTCCTAGTCTCACCTGTTGCCCCGCCTAGTCTCACCTGTTGCCCCTCCTACAGTCTCCTCTGTTGCCCCGCCTAGTCTCACCTGTTGCCCCTCCTACAGTCTCACCTGTTGCCCCTCCCAGTCTCACCTGTTGCCCCTCCTAGTCTCACCTGTTGCCCCGCCTAGTCTCACCTGTTGCCCCGCCTACAGTCTCCTCTGTTGCCCCGCCAAGTCTCACCTGTTGCCCCGCCTACAGTCTCCTCTGTTGCCCCTCCTAGTCTCACCTGTTGCCCCTCCTACAGTCTCACCTGTTGCCCCGCCTAGTCTCATTTGTTGTCCCTCCCAGTCTCACCTGTTGCCCCACCTAGTCTCACCTGTTGCCCCTCCTAGTCTCACCTGTTGTCCCTCCTAGTCTCACCTGTTGTCCCTCCCAGTCTCACCTGTTGCCCCTCCCAGTCTCACCTGCTGCCCCTCCCAGTCTCACCTGTTGCCCCTCCTAGTCTCACCTGTTGCCCCTCCCAGTCTCACCTGTTGCCCCTCCCAGTCTCACCTGTTGTCCCTCCCGGTCTCACCTGTTGCCCCGCCTAGTCTCACCTGTTGCCCCTCCCAGTCTCACCTGTTGCCCCTCCTAGTCTCACCTGTTGCCCCTCCTAGTCTCACCTGTTGCCCCTCCTAGTCTCACCTGTTGCCCCTCCTAGTCTCACCTGCTCTTCCCTCCTCTGCTGGTTGGCTTCCTCCTCTTTCATGATGTCCATCAGGTTGTACGTGGGTGCCGTCCGCCTCCTGCTGATTACGTGAGTGCCACTCCCCTGCTGCCGGAAGCCCGGGGGCTCAAATAATTGTGCTGACTTCACGTTTCTTAGAATAGAACTGGGAGTCTCCTTCCCCTGGTGTGGGCCATGGTTTTCTTCCTGTTGTAGTTTCCGGGCGAGGGCTTCATCTGATTCACAAACACTCATCAATCAGTAACTGGTCTTAATTATGCAAGACAACTCTGTCTTGTTTCTCACCTTGCCTTGTTTCAGATGGCAATGTAAGGTACAGGTTATTCACTAACTTCACACTGTTAAATACACACAGATACCTTATCTTTAATGCAACTTACGGAGGTTATTGTGATCAGACAAATCAGAAACAAGTATTCTTCAAAGTTATTGTAGAACAAGCATTCATGACCAATCATAATCACACATGTTAAAGGATGAAGCTTTCACACACTGACCCTCACGAAGCTGTTTCTCTCGTGACTTCTCTTCACTCTGCCTCCTCAACTCATCTTGTTTTCTAAATTCTTCACTTTGCTGTCTGATATGGGCTCCTCGGGATGCTGGCCTCCTCTGCAGGTTTTCAAACAAACGCTTGGCTGTCCTCATGTCCAGGGTTACCTCAAACGACTCGCACCCTGTAAAATAACAGCAAACTCACATTACTCCCACAGACCCATGCAAGTGCCTGACATAATGGTCACACACCCAAAGATATGTATTTATATACAATCAAACATTTGGAATTTAAGATCATAGACAAATTTCAACATGTTCAAATAATCCTTCTTTCACACAGTTTGACCTGATAATATTCAATTCTATCAGGAAATTGGAAATTTAGTAAAATCTAAAAAGAATTTACATTTGTATACTTATCCTGCATTACTCCTAAATGCATTTACTGCTTACCTTACGACAATAAAGGATAGCGCCTTGCGATGGTCTTGGGTGAAGAGAAAAATTGTTTCACTCTCAGATCCTACTTTTAGTATGGACCATCGCCGCTGACATGTGACCTTGATGGAATATCACCTATTACATTACTGCCTGTCGCATAGCAGCTAGGACATGTCTCAGCTGGGCTCCTGGGGGGTGTGTGTGTGTGTGTGTGTGGGGGGGGGGGGAGTCTGTGACAGGTGGGTCCTTAGATGCAGTAATGCAGGATAAGTGTATGAATGTAAATTTTATTTTAGATTTTACTAATTTTTTTACTTATCCTGTATTACTCCTTAAAGGGGAAGTGTACACGCAAAAATCACTTTCTTTCTTTTTCTAAACAAAACGCAATTTTAGAATTAGTTAGTATCTGTGTTTGAAAATATAAACTCATTTTTTTTCACAGTGAAAGTAGGAAGCTCACAATAGTGTTATATGATATGTCGTTATGAGGCCTTCGTTTTACGAGCGAAATAGGCCTGAGTTATCCCCCTTAGATTATGACGTAATTGGTGCCAATTCAACTGGGTCCCTGTCTATTCTCAACGCAAAAGATATCAAGGACCAGTTTGCGGTAAAACAACATGGTCTACGACACACTCCGGCGCAGTGGTGACTCAGCATAACACAATTCTGGCTTGCATCTGAGACGCTAGAATCACAAAACTGTACCTACACCACGTGAAGCGGCTCTAACAAAGCATGATGACGTCATAATGTTTATCAATTGGCACCAATGACGTCATATTGCAAGGGGCATAAGCCATGGTGTTTTTGTTATGGAAATAGAACACTTGGTAAATGTGAAAAATATAAATCGTTTTAATGCAAAAAATATGTTAATTAAATATGATGTTTTTATATTTTTGTCTATGACACTTCTATGTTAACACTTTTAATGTGGAAAAAGTACAAGAAAAATTGGTTCATTTCCGTGTGAACTTGCCCTTTAATGCATCTTTATCAGACGGTATGGAAGAGGGTATACCTTCATATGTCCAAGAAAAATCCTCAACAACTCTAATCCCAAAGGAGACACATGTTTGTCAATTGACAAGGTGCAAAAAGCACAAAACACTGTAATGGTAAAGTAAGTTCAATATTATTTACAGATAGAACAAAAGACATGATACACATGGTAATAACGGATGATATCGAAAGCTTAAATCTTTACCAAATGTGTTACCAAGCCAAAGCTGATAAAAGCTTGAAGCAATTCCTTTAATGGGCATGTCTTACACAATACTGCAGCAGGGAAACTGGCTCCAGATAGGATGATTTGGGTCAGGCGTTGGTTACTTGGTGGGCTACTACCAGAGAGTGAGTGAGTGAGTATGGTTTTACGCCGCTTTTAGCAATATTCCAGCAATATCACGGCGGGGGACACCACAAATGGGCTTCATAAATTGTACCCATGTCGGGAATCGAACCCGGGTTTTCAGCGTGACGAGTGAACGCTTTAACCACCAGGCTACCCGACTGAGGGTCTTCGACGTCTCCAAGAGGCACATTGCGAAGATTATGTCTTGCGAAAACTGTGTTGGACCTCCAAAAACATCCTTCCATGATTGCTCTGATAGAACAGTTACTGTGAAGAGCCACGTTAGAGGCTATTGCTCTGATCTCATGAGGATTATTCGCTCTTGGAGGATCAAGTATGGTGATCCTGTAAGGCTGTAGGATGACTGCTGGTAACCATAGAGATATGATGTTGCTACTAACTTCGGTCATGGATGAACAGGAAACCGGATTGAATAACCGTTTCTGTGAGCCACACCTAGTTTGGGAGAGGTGGATGAAAACTTGTAGTGCGTGCACATGGCAAGTGCAAGTGTGCAAGTGTAGGCGGTATTCGGCTAAGACTTCTAGTGGCACTGATTTTTTGCCTTGCAAAAGGTTTCAAATGATCCAGACTTGTCACCTTGTAAACCCCTGGTAGAGGGACGATGCGCAAATGCAACAGCAGATAGCCCTTAGCACTTGACGCCTTTTTAAGACGAACCAAGTGTGCAGATGAAATCTGCATTGTGTTGGGTGAAGCCATTTGCTGTGAGAGTGGATGAGTAGGTTGGGCCACTCTGGGAGGAGAGGAGGATCATTTCTGCAAGATTTCTGATGTCGACGAATCACACCCTTTCCAGCCACCAAAGTCAGTGCAAGGTTCCTTGTCTCTTTGATCTTTTGTATCATCATGGGATGTAGAACAGGTGGCGGAAAACTGTACGCTTTTAGCCCTTCCCAGGGGATGCTGAATGCGTCCACCGCCCAAGCCTGCGGATCCAATAATAGGGTAAGTTAGTGGTTCTGGTAAGTCACAAACAGGTCAATGTTTGGTTGCCTGAAGCATTGAAGTACCAGTTGAAGTGTTGGCCAGTATGAACTATGAATTGTAGTTTCAGACGATCCACTAGATGGAAGAACTTGAATGTCTGATGAAGAAGGAAGTGGGAGTGTGTTGTCCCCTGATTGCGCAGGCACCACACCACCGTGCTGTTGTCAGTGGATATTGCGAGTTGGGCGGACTGTAGCAGTTTCTGCCGATGTGAAATGGCCAGAATGAGCGCTTCCAACTCCAGACTGTTTATGTGCCAAGTTTGTTGTGCACTGGACCACAGCCCTGGGGCTGTCTGGTTCTATAAGTGAGCACTCCACCCCTAAAGGGAGGCATCTACAAACAGATGTAGTTTCGGGGTTATCCCAGGTAAGGAGACTCCTCCTTAGAGGTTTGACTCTATTGTCCACCAGTTGAAGAAGGGCCTAAAGTGGGCTGGTAGAGTGATGGCTTTGATTGGATCCTGTCGCCTGATGTAAGGATTCAGGAATTTGTGAATCTTGCGATGAAGTTAGTAACCCCAGTAACACTTGAAATTGGTGAGGTGCGTGGTTGATGCAGAGTAGGAGCCAGGTGGCGTAGGATCTTTAGCCATCTGTCCCTTGGTACTGATAAGAGGTCCTGGTCTGTCTGGAATAGGCCTCCTATGAACTGGAGCCGGTAGGTGGGAGTCAACTCTAAATTCACCTTGTTGATTGTCCATCCCAATTGTGATAGTAACCGTTTGGTGAAATCCCAATGGCACACTAGCGAACGACTTATGCTACAATGAGAAACCTTTTCTTTAACAGTAGCCTTCAAACAGACCTGCGCGACGATGTCCACAAATGAGCTGTGGTTTTGGAGCCGAAGGCTTTTGCGTTGTGTCTGGTAAAAGTTAGACGTTGGTGTAGACGCTGATGCATGAGTTGTCTGCTGCGTAAGTGTTGTTGCTAACACTGGAGTCTGGTACATAGGCGAAGGCGCTGGGTACAATTTTACCATAGACTGCTGCCACATGGATTGCATAAAATTTTGCATCCAATTGTTGTTCTGGTATGGTGCAGACGGTTGTGCGTACATCTGGTGTGCTGCCAGGTAGGCAGACCCTACAGCGCTAAGCTAGTCATGCATCACTGACATAATGGGGTACACTGGAAGCCCTGAGGCTGATGTAATCATTGCCACGCCTGGGGGGTAGGAAGGCGCTGTGCTTAGCGCAATTCTTTGTGAAGCTACGCCGAAAGGTGATGACTGGATCATGGCTACACTAGTAGAAGCATTGTAAGACGCACGCGCCGGCGCTGGAACCGTCACAGTGGAAGCCATGGACGCCTGAAAATTTGAAGAAGGTGTGACAGTAACAGTAAAGCCCGATATTGTAGAAACTGAAGGAGAGTGAATGTCGGCAGTCACTGTCATGGAGAACATAGCTCCTCCAGAAGAAAAAGGTTTGGAGGTAAGAACGGAAGATTGTAAGTCGGTGGCATCCTGCGACTGAGACATCTTCCTCGCAACACAACGGGACTGCTGCGAAATACGGTTGTGAGTGACCTGTCTATATATAGCAAAACTCGATGGAGAGAGTGGTGAACAAAAATAACATTTGAACTTGCAATCTTGAGGGCGATCCAAACAACATGGATGGGGGATCTTTGGAAGATTTTTTTACCATGACAATCTGTATGCCCTGCAAGCATGTGTTACGCAAATAGAGAGTTGTGATTATGAAAGTGTATAATATGAAAAGATACACCCTATGTTACACCAAAGCTACAGGTAATTTCAATAAACATAAGCGTGCTAAAAATACCTAGCTATGAATTGCAAACAATTTGACAACCTTGGAAGGTAAAAAAATGCAACACAAATTCAAAATGGCTGAAGCGAGTCTTTTTACATGAAAATCACCCACATATTAACACACAAAACATTGAGGGAGTAATATGAAAGGAACACATCACCCATCGCAGGTCTAATTTGGTGAGGTAGCCGAAGCTAACTGCCTAAAAATCCTGCAAAAGTTCAGGAGCCCAGCTGAGACATGTCCTAGCTGCTATGCGACAGGCAGTAACGTCATAGGTGATATTCCATCAAGGTCACATGTCAGCGGCGATGGTCCATACAAAAAGTAGGATCTGAGAGTGAAACAATCTTTTTCTTCACCCACGCCCATCTCTAGGCGCTGTCCTGTATTTTCGGAAGGTAAGCAGTAAATGCACTAAGGAGTTATGAAGGATAACAAAAAAATATTAGATTCTGGTCAAATCACAATACCGTCATTTTACCGTCATTGTTGGTAGGCATATTTAAATAAATATATATTATAATAATAAGTTACAAAATGCAAAGTTGTGGTTACTACAATATTCAAAGGATGTGTGGCAACACATTGCTTGCAGAAAACACAACAGAAATCTTTGAAGAGAATGTATTTAAGTTTGGGAGAACAGTGAGCTTGGAATTTAGTGCTTTTCTATCTATATACGACTGACACCATATCTCTTGCGTCACAATGAGTGACGTACGGTGTAGAAAGAAAGCTTTGCTAGGCTTGCTTAGTTTTCTTTAGGGGTGCGCATCTCATGCTAGCTTACAAGGTTGCCATGTTCATATGCTTTCAATGCCTGTCATATGTTCAAGTGAAGTATTACAGTGTAAACAAACTGCATGAGAGTATCCACAGCGCCATATTTTTGTTAATAGGCTGTCGTCTGTGAATCCGTCATTCAGATTGACAACCCACTCAAAACACTGGACACTTCACTCAATATATTTGCTATCACCAAAGATAAACAGTTTTTCAGTTCCTAATTCAATTTAGCATGGTTAAATCTACAGGTAACCTAGCTCTACATTGAAAACACAGTATGTTTATCTCCTAATTAGACCAATAGACCATAAGTTTTATTCTATATATTCCACCTCTTAAACATGACCTGGTTGTACTTTTGGCTTTGTACATCCCTAGGTACAAGTCTGACAATTGTAACAGGATTTAAATGATCAAATATTGAATTACCACAAAAAGAGACCAAAACAGCTGAGTACTGACAACAACTAAAGTGTTGAATACAGTATGTAGTTAACATACCAGTTAGGCTTGACTGCACAGGCCCAAACAGCTCCTCCAAATCTCTAACCAGCTCCTCTGGCACTGGGAGTGTCACATGGGCATCACCCTCCAGCACACACCTGTCTTCCTCCGACCAGTCCTCCTCAACTCCCCAGTCCCCCTCGGTACTGGCACCAATGTCCTGAACTGGAGATGGGAGTTGTCTCTCCGTGGGACTCCTGAGCTTATCTGGGCTGATGTAGACATCAGATAACACAGAGCTGCTATCCTGTATAATATCACTCAGCAGACTGTCATTTGCCAAGCTTGACTCACTCTGACTGAAGCTCCTCACACGCATCATGCTGTGACTCTCCATCCTCTGAAGGCGCTGGTACCCTGTCTTAATGACTTTGTCTTGCAGCTCATCGTTGCTGGCCAAACTGTTTGCCTCAATGGCCTTCTGACACAAATCAAAAAGTGACAGGGGACTTTTTGTGCCAAGTGCCTGTTTAGCAAGCTTTATGGTCTTGTCAGGGGTCTTCTGCTTCATTTGAGTGGAGATTTCCTCTTTGTCAACTGATGAAAATGGCACTGATTCTCCCCAGTCCAGGAGCAGATTTACTGTCCACTCAACATTGCCCTGACATATATCCAGGGCATCACGCAGATGATTCTCCTCAGCACCAGGGAATGCTTTCACAAGGAACTCGACATCAGCCGGGACTTGCAGATCCTTCTCATCAGTCATACAGCCTTTGTCCAAAGTTAGACTATCATGTTTTCTTTCTTCTCTCGAACTGTGTGATTTTGTTTTCATTCTCTGAGTCTTTTCAAAATTGATGTCTCTTGATTTTCCCAATAAGACAGTATATAGTTTTGAATCTTTAATCTGGTGTAATGGTTTGTTGCAGTTAATATCTGTCATGAATGCAAAGTCCTTTGAACTTGTAAATGAATAATGGGATCTGCATGCAACTTTTCTACCCTTAGGTTCTGATTTCTGCATGTCACTGACCCTTGAAGCAGAGGGTTGTGCCGGTGTAGTGAGTCCAAAGGAACTCCAACTTTCAGTCTGAAATTTCTGTTTCGAATCATCATCTAAAAATTGAAAAACCACATTTTCTTGTTTCTTCCGTACAGTTTTTGATTTCTTTGCGATAGGTGTTTTGTGGATAAGGGAATCTTCATGAGACTTTTTGAGATCTGCACCGAGAATAGTTATTGTGTTATTTCCTTTTAACATTGGAGCCATGTCAATATTAGTTGAGTTACAATGACCTGTGATGGTTTCACACAGCTGTTTATCAGGGTCATCATTCTCATCACTATTATTATTTCCAAAATTGCCTTTTTCATTACAAGTCTTAAGCCTGGATACTTCGCTACTCGCACATGCGATATCTACCTTGGCAACAGTACTAGTGTCTTCTAGTTTGACAATTAGTGAATCTTCATTTGGTTCACATGGATAAAAAGCTCCAGTTTCATTTGAAGTCTCATTTTCATCTTTAGTTTCTTGTCGATGACACCAAGAGTCCTGGATGTCGTTTTGTTGACATACTACATGGACAAGAGGCTGGTGGTCCTCTTGCCCAACTTCCATTTCATCATCCGCCACAGATGTATCCACAGATGTATCCACAGCTCTAAGTCCATCATCTTCTTCTCTGGAACTCACGGACAAGCTGAGGAAGGAATCATCATGTTTCTCTTCCTTGTTGATACCTTTTTCATCTCGTTGGTCACATGCTAATTTTCTATTTGTGCCAGTTTCCCCACATATGACCTCAAATTCATCTGAATCAAAAGATTCAAAAGCTTCCTCAGAATCCTCAGATGTATCTCCAACCTTCTCGCTTGGCTCAAAACATTGGCCAATACATTTTGTGTGTTCAATGTCAGTCACTTCAGCAGGAACAGCTTCATTTCCATCACCTGTCTTTTGTCCATCACTACCAGATACTGACACTTTCTTTTTGACCTCTGCTATTGCCTCAACATCTTCTCTTACAAAACCTCTTGACGTCATTTCATCAACCTCAGTGATCACTTCCTGGTTAACAGCTCTTACTCCTTCAAAGATTTCAACTTTAGATGCATCTGCAGTTGTTTCTCCTTTGCTTCTTCCACCAGTGTTGCTCGAGTTGAATTGTTCTCCATCTGGTGTTGGTACTCCCCAAACAGCTAGGACATCCACTGTTTCAGTTTCATCTACCTCTTTTTCATCCCTTTTAAAACCTTCCATTGATATAGAAAACTGTGTTTGTTGTTCAGATATTTCTGCTTCGGTCGTGTAGTCCTTTTCCTTCTCAAGGGTGGAATCATTTTGGTCAGCATTTTCCCTAAGATTTTGGCTTCTCCTTCTGGGACGACATCTCCTCGGTTTAGGTCTCGTGTGTTTCTGTGACCAAGGTTCATTGTCACAGTTGTCACTGGCATCAACATCTAGTGTCGTCATCCTTGCCTCAGCATCATCATCCCCTTCATATGATGGCTTTCTAAGATCTGACATGTTTTCAATACCAACACCCTCTCTGCATGTGGTGACAACACTTTTAGCCTTAACCACAGCAGCTGTCAACTCTGTGGGCGCAATGTCATTCAACTCCTTCTCCAGACTGTCACAGCTATTCATCATACAACCCTCATTCTGAATGTCCTCAACAACCTTGGCATTTGGGTCTTCCCTTATGGGAACAGAACATATAGTTTTCCTGTTATCAAGCTTCTCGTGGAGCCAGACTTGGATGTCCTGTTTCTCTGCTTCCGACAGTGGACTCATGAACAGCAGTGCCTGGATCTCACCCTCATCTATCTCACCCTCACCACAGCTCTGAAAAATCTCCTCGATCGTCTGCATCACCTCAGACTTGGATGAACTGGCTTTCCTCTTTTTCCTCTTCCTCTTTTTAGGGGAACCTGGTGCACTTCCACTCTCTTTGACCTGCTTGTTTGTCAGTGGCTTCTTTATGTTCAAGTTCAACTTGAGCACTTTTGGTGTCGCTGGCATGGTGCCCTGTTTGATTGACATGGGTGTTAGACACACTGGTGCTTTCCCCTGTGGTGGCACCTTCATGACATCCTCTTGTTCTTCCTCTGACGAAAGATCATACTGGACCAGTCGAACACTGGTCTTCACACCTTCCTTCTGAGGCTTGAGAGGGGAGCCATCTCTTGCATCTGCAGATTCTTTAATGCTGCAAGGAAATGAGCAGACAAACTAAATGGACAGGACCCTTTTGAAGGAGAAAGAGTCTTTTAGAATCAACTTCTTTCAACACTTGTCAATGTAATATTTGATAGTTATCATAATATATACTAGGGAGAGCAAGTAAATGATTTCAGCAATATTCCAGTTAGATCCCAGCTGCCTGTCACTAATCGATCTGTGTCGGGCAAACCCGTGTCTGATATGAACACACAATGTCATTTAGAAAAGGGTCAAATGTTTTGTTTGTTTGTCCGTTGTTTAATGCCTCACTCAGCAATATTCCACCTATATGACGGTGGTCAGAAAATAATCCAGTGATCGACATCATGAGCATCAATCCACGCAATTTGGATATGATGACATGCATCAACCAAGTCAACATGCCTGACTACCCAATCCCGTTTGTCGTATCTTATGACAAGCACAGTCGCCTTTCATCGCAAGCATTGGTTGCTGAATACCTATTCTACCCCGGATGTTTATGGGTCTGGTCAAATGTAACAAATGTTTTATATTTGGGATAACACTTTCTTCGTGGAGTACAGATTCTAATAAATTTTTGGGTTGAGTCCAACCCGGGATTTGAACCCACACTGATAGAGTGAGGCACCTTATTGCCAGCACACAAAGTCAGCTGGCACTCTGGCAGTGTGGGTTCGAATCTCAACCTGAAAAAGTACTAGAATCTGCACATTACTAAGAAAGTATTATCCCAAATATAACACTTGCTCCTGTGTGTGATAGAATGAGCAATGCTCCATGCTTACATAGCAGGTGACATAACACCACATGACCAGGTTGCACATCGTAAGCAGCCTGGGGCCTGTGGTGGGGAAGCAGCTCACCTGTTGTGTTGAGAGATCCTGGCCAGCAATCCTGCAGCTGTGACATTGTGCTGGTATCTCTGGTTCATCTTCCTGATGGCATCCCGACCCACACCATGGCTGTTCCTCCTAGGTAAACAGGGGACTTTTAACAGCTCTATGCTCATGTTGAAGGCATTAATTATACTTTCATCAGATAGGAGTCCCACTGACTTCCTATTCACTACACTGAAGCAGGTCAGCTGTCAAGAAACACTTTGTGATTGTCTGGATGTCAGATGATGTTACCCTTTAGTTACTCAGGGATTGATGAATCCAGAAACTTGATCAAGATTACAGTTGTGAGGTAATTCTCAGTTTCCAGGGTGCAATTGTCCTAGGGGGCAAACAAGATCCCCCCATTTGTAACACACCTTAAAACAGGTTTTCCAGGGGTCAACTGCCCTAGAATCAAACTTACAGAACACGGGGGACACAAGAACATGAAAAATGGAGACATGACTCACTTGGCTAGAACTTTAGGGTGAAACTTCCACGGTGTACTGGGTTCTAGCACTTCTACATCATATCCTCTTGCCACTGCCTGCAAGAATAGAGTTATAACTAAGGTGATCTATACACATATATTTATTTCATTTGAACAATAAAGGCCTAATAATGAATATAAAAAATATTTCAACATGGCTATTTACATGCACATGAGTGCACAATAACAACTTTCCATCATTCACTTGGAAGTACAGCTATGGAGGAGAAACAGTCAAGAAGCACCATCTGTAGCACAACATAATATATGACCTGAGGTTAAAGCGGAGATGACTGGGGTGTTTGTGCACTCAGTGTTTTAAATATTATATATGGTCCCATGTCACTAAGACAGACAGACAGACTTTAAATAAGTGGCCTAAAGTTCAATGAATGTACAACACAGATACAAAAGATCAGTGAGAGGTCACTGAGAGGGTGTGAAAACTGAGGGACCATATATGTTCTCGTGGCACCACAGTAGTAATTACCAACAATTAATGTGCTTCGGAACTGAAAAATGGGGAGATATTTGGTAGAGTGAGGTGGTCTCACCATCTTGACGTAGGGCACCATCTCCCAGTCCATGGTGTTGGTGTTGTCAATGATCACAGGGCTCACATGTCTCTCCATAGCATCACATGCTGCAACAAACAAACAAACAAACACACAGTTCCCACTGCCAGTTGGCTCCTTCAACAAGCATGACAAACTGGGGACCTACTTTGCCCTGACAGTCTTTCTTACCATGATGTATGTCACACACCTTAGTGCCACAAGTAATAAATATTTAAAAATGGTCCCAAAAATCTTTTAAAATTTATAAAAATTGTAAAACATATAAAACAGGCCCATGTATCACTTTGACACGTTAAATACTTTCTTCCCAGGTTCTAAAACACATCTTGTGCATTATTTCTGCCAGGTTTTACTTCAGGATATCATGTGCGCTTTTCTCAAGACCTAAGGCTGGTCCTGGTGATGCTGGTACCTCTCTGCTTGTTCCAGGTGTGTGCTTCAGTCAGCTGGTCCTGGTTGTACCGGTACTCTCCGCAGTGCAGGAAGTAGTCATCAGTGGACAAGATGGCCCCCTCAAACACAATCTCCCTGAAACCCAATACAGGATTACACTTGCAGATCAGCAAAACCAAGTCTGTATTGTAGTTGCGGTATCTTAAATCCAAACTCTCATCCTAATTAAGATGGGTTGTGCTTCAATTAATATCATGTTAGTAACTTTAACCAAACATTGTCATGAGGTCAAACATTCGACTTGAAGGATAAATTCTTGTACTTACAGAACACATTCACTTCAATGATTCAAATAGATTTGGCATAAATGACAGTGCCTAATTTTAAATTACAACAGTAACTTGAGAAAAGGAACCTGCGACTGTGACAGTCTCTAAAACACAAGAAGGAAACCAGTTTCCTGAACAGCTTACCTAGCAAGGTATGTCTTGCCGCTGCCCGGTAATCCCCTGAGGATCACCAGGAGTTGTCTCCCCTTGACCATATATGTCTTCACTTGCTCTATCTGCTCAGCACAGGATATCACTTGGTTATTACTGGCTGGTATGGAGTGTGAAGTAGGCTGTGTTGCCCAGTCTGGAGTTGGTACCGGTTTGGCTGCTGCCTTGGAGTAGATCATCTGAGATGCATTGCTGCCTTGTACTTGACGGACTGGTCCTATGCTTCTCTCTGGCATTGTTGGAAAGTGGTCCGATGATGGAGGAGGTGGAATGGCCTGGAGTACTGACCCTGAGAACTTGTAAGGATTCTGTGCTGCCATAGATGATAGAGGCTGAAGGGGCTTTGGCTGAGTGGGATGAGTGCTGGGCCTCTGCCATCTTGAATGGGGTAAACCTGGGGATCTGTTTGGATAATGTTTGGGTGATAGGCGACTTCGTGGATGCGGCCCTTTAGGGGTCATGAAGATAGGATTTCCTTCCAGCTGCCTGGCCGGGACCCACTGACTGAGGCCTGGAGGAGGTTGGGTGGATGCTAACCTGGGTACAAACACAGCTGCTTCTACTGACAAGGGGGCCATACTAATTAAATCTGAATGTCCTTTGTCCTCTGTTTTATTGTGTGTTGCAGAAAACATGTCTTGGTCAGATTCACCCACACTTGCATCACCACCGTCTCTCAATGTTGTGTCACCATTATCTGTGAGTGCACCAATACTTACATCAGATTTTGCCAACTGTTTCTGCAAATGACCTAGAGTGTTTGAATTACCTCCCTTGGAAGACGCCTTTCCTGAATCTTGAGCTAAAATGGACTTTTTCCCCTTCAAGGGACCAAATGTATCCATTTGACTAATTTTGGTATCCTCTGCCAGCAATGTGTGCAGAGCCTTGTGTCCTGTGCTAACAGTGTCACTACTATACAGGCTGAGTGTATGTGGGGCTGTGTCAACATACAGCTTATCTGACGGACAGCTGTTTCTGTTCCCATGACATTTATTACTTTTCTGTAAACATATTGGATCAAGTAGACCTATGTTTGAAATTCCACTTGTAGGTGATGAAATCACAGAATCACCTTCGTCAGATTGTGAAAGGGATGATTTTATATCTTGTGAATTTCTTAAAGGTTCATCTTTTAATTTAATTGATTCCATGATCTCTGGGACATATGTGCCATAAACATTATACATGTCCACATAAGTCTGATACTCTACATTGGACATATCCCCAGGGAAGGATGACGATTCTGATGTCAGCAAGTCCTGCACTAACTTTTCTGTTTCCTTTTCTGGTGGATCAGAAAGATTTCTACTCAATACCATCTCAACAGGGTCTAAGTTTTCCAACGGTTGTAAAACAGGCTCATTGTTGTTAGTTATTCGGTTTTTTTCCATAGTACTCGTTGAATGAGGTTTGTGGTGACTCTCGACCTCTCCAATAAGGCTGCAAGCTATGACATCCAGATCAGTGCTTTTGGACACAACTTTCCTCTCAGATAGTTCATCCTGGCTCATTGCAAACAGTGTCTCGATAGCTTCATCGACTGAAATAATACAAATTTAGTAAAATCTAAATATTTTTTACATTTGTATGCTTATCCTGCATTACTCCTCAATGCATTTACTGCTGTTTTTTGACAGAAAGACGAAGCTGTGAAAGATCCAGCTGCAGAAGGAGTTGTTCCAACCAGTGGTGTAGCGATACCCACACACAGCTGCCATGTGACCTGGAAGTGGTGACGCCACATAAGAGAACATTATTGCTAAGAACCTAACATCTGAACACTTTGTGGGGAGGTAAAACTGAGATGGGAGGGCACTTAGACAAAGTAACGCAGGATAAGTAAACAAATGCAAAATATATTTAGATTTTACTGAAATGTTTAACTTATCCTGCATTAGGTAGGCATACCTTCAGATGAGATCCGAAATAAATCCTTGTCAAGGTCCAAGTAACCAGTACATCATCCTGCGTGATGACTAGAAAACAATGACCCTTCTGTCAGAAGGTAAACAAGAGTGTGAAGAAAAAAGTAACACCAAGTGTGAGAAACGGTAAGTGTGAGCCAGAATCTAAAATTCATCTACCGAGCTAATGTGGAAAACATCTGAGGTTAACAAAACCAGAGAGTTTAATTGGCCAGATCGCGGGTCTGAGAGAATCAATGACGTCGGGGGTTGGTGACCTGTTGAGCCACCACCAACAGACCAAAACTATGGACGCCAGTATCCTCCTCTAAGGCCATGTCTTGTAGATAGTGGCAGGCAAAAATGGTATCAGAGCGCCAGAAACACCCTTCCATAATGGAGAGCTATGGTCTGCCCTGACGCGACCGCCTTGATCTGATGAGGACTGTTGGCCTCGGGGTGGGGTAAAAACCAGTAGCTTTGTATGCCTGGAGAATGACCACCCGAAGCCATAGGGAGATAGTATTACAATAAACTTCTGCCTGCGAAGTAGGAGAAACCGGTAACCGATGTTTCCTGTACTTGCATTGTGATTTAGAACATCTGAGGAAACATCGCAAAGCATGCACAAGGCATAACAAAAGTTATCGATGAGAGGGGAGGGATGGTGAATGACCTGTCTGGCTGTCCTGGGAGTTGGTTCTTGGCAATGAAATACCAGCACAACCCAAGATGAACGGCCCCAAGAGCTCTGTGCTAAAACCGTACACGGGAGACGTCCAAGGCATGTAGCTCGCTGACCTGTGCTGCCGTAGCTAGAGCTAAAACAAAAAACGTTTCCTTGATGAGGTCGTAAAAAGATGATGAATGCAATGGTTCGAAGGGAGCTGCCTGCAACAAATGTAAAACCATGTTCAGATCCCAGGCTGGGGGTCTGAACTTGATCAGCCGCCCTTTATGAGTAGCCCTTGGCAAATGTGCCAAGCGTGCAGACAAAACCTGTCGGGGGTCGGATGCGGTAACCTGCTGTGTGTGGATGGAACAGTAGGTTTGGCTAAACCCACAGTTCAAGAGGATCGTCCCTGACGAGATTTCTGAGCTCCACAAAACCAACTTCTCGCCAGCCAGCAAGGTGCGACAAAAATCAGATTTAGGTTCTGAGTGCCCCTGATCTTTTGGAAGAACCCTGGGAAGGATTATTAGAGGCGGAAAAGTGTATGCTTTTAATTCTTCCCAGGGAACAAGGAGGGCATTGATCGTTAATGCTTGCAGATCCGGAACCGGGGAGATGTAGGTGTGCAACTTTAAGTTCTGACTGGTGGCGAACAGGTCGATGTTGGGATGGTTGATCCGCTGGCAAATTATGGCGATGTAACTTCCATTCCGTTGGAGCCACCATGTCAGAGTGGGTGAGTGAGTGAGTTGGGTTTAACGCCGCTTTTAACATTATTCCAGTTATATCACAGCGTGTCAGCTTAATGTGGGAGGAAAGCCCGAAGTGATGCAGGTCTAAGACGTTTACTACTTCGGTGAAACCCACGAGCACAGGTATGGTGCTGAGAAACCTAGAAACATAATTGGGGTGAACCGGGATTTGAACCCACAATCATAGGTTTCTGGCGTGTCCAAGGGACGCAACTCTGCACAGCGAATCGCGGCGACTTAGACGACTATAGGCCACCCGTGCCCCCCAACCATGTCTGATCTGGACATCACATCTGGTAGAGCGTTCTGGCACCCTGGAATGTGTTGAACTAGGAAGCACAGGTCGAGAGGGTCTACCAGCTAGAGGAAGCGGAAGGTCTGCGCCAGCAGAGAAGAGGAGTGAAGAGTCCCCTGACTTCTAAGACACCACACCATGGTGATGTTGTCCGTGGATGTTGTCCGTGGATATTGTCAACTGGGCGTTTCACGAAATGGCCTGCCAATGTTTGATGGCCAGAACGAGTGCTTCCAATTCAAGCTTGTTGCTGTACCAGTGACACTGACCACAGCCCTGAGGTCATCCAAGCCTCCAGATAAGCTCCACATCCTTGTTTCGAGGTATCTAGGAATAGATGTAGCATGGGTTTAAGTGGGGTCAAGGAGATGCCGCCGAAGACATTCGACTCCACCGTCCCCCAACGATCCTCGTAAAATGCCATGGGGCTGTGAAAATTCCAAATGGTATGACCACCCACTGGTAATGGATACCACTGAAGAAGAACCTGATGAACTGCCTGTCGCTTGGGTGGAAGGGCACATGGAGATACACATCCTGGATGATCAGGGGAGCGTTGGCGTTGATTCTGGTCCTGAGCAGCAACGTGGACATTCTGAAGTAAGGTGGACGTTCCAGGTAGCATTGATTGAAAATGGCGAGATTGTGTATCATGTGAAGTTTGTCTGAACCCTTCTTGGGGACCAGAAACATGGGGGAGTAGAATCCCGGATGTCTGACCGGGTAGTGAACAATCTTGATGTGTAGCAGAATGTTAATGTTGTCTCACAGGAGTTGGCATTGATGGCAGATGTAGGCATCTGCCAGGAATGATGTGAGAGGAGGGTCCTTTGTTAGCGAGAGACGGTACCCCTGGCGGAGGATGTTTGTGACAAACGGGTCCTACAGATTGGCCCAATTTTGCCAAAAATCTCCCACCTATGGCAGGGTCGGTGACTTTAACGACTGGGGGTGGGAGGTCCCCGTAGTTGTTGTCCAACAGTTCAGCACTTGCTCTTCTGATCGGCACCCTTGCCTTGGTGACTTAGCCAATGCATGTTAGGTGATGTGTTCCAGGGCTTTCAGAGCCGTTTCATCCCTGGCAAAAGTTGATACTTGAGCCTGAGTGTCAGTGATAGCACCTTTAAACAAAATTGGAGGAACTGGACCAAGGATGATGGAGGAGTTTCTTCTTTAATTCGAAATCCCATTCCATCAATGCAAAGGCGCTAGATGAGTAAACTCAGCCAGAGCGGCCAAAAACTGTTTATGCATGTGGTCAATCTGTCGCAACTGGTAACTGTTTGCAGTTATTCTCTGATAAGTCCAAAGTTGAGAGGTGCTTAAGATAATGCCAAACTTCCGGTTCTATGAAGGCCAAGCGAGGATCGGGCCTTCTATCGTCGTAGGCTTCGAGGAACCAGTCATGCGATGAAGGTCGGTATCAAGGACATGAGCTCCATCAGCCACATCAAAGGAGTGAACCAGGAAGTCATCTTTCCAATAACGAGGCACTTCAAAGGACAGAGTGAGAGAGAGCCTAGCAAAGTCCTCTGTAGAGCAGAGGGGTGAGCTGTTAACATAGGATCTGGAAAATTGGATATCAGGTGGGACCAGATAGTGTCCTTCTTGTCCACGTCTGGTCCCGGAGACGGCACTACAAAAGCCAACCTATCCACCATCCAATCGGCACATCCTAAGATGTGTGTCAGGGAGGATCATAAACAGGATGAAAAGCTCACTCAGAGGAGTCCAAATGGTACATGTAGTCAAACTACTTCCTTCAGACGGGAGAACGGTGACAAGACCGGGATGACTTAGAGCTGCACCGGGTTGAACTAGGAGAGGCTGATCCACTTGATGATCTTATATGAGCAGACGGTGTAGGATCTCTGTCAACAAGAGGGCAGATGGGGAAAGCGCACTGACGAGATGGTGACCGGAAAAGTCGTAAGAGCAGCGGGAACCATGAGTGGAGCCAGAGAGCTGATAGGAAGCGTTGGAGGACCAGGGACTGCAAGTAGTGTTGCCACTACCGACGTCACAGGAGGCACCACCAACACCACTGGGGCAGAAGGTGTTTGAGTCATAGGAGGCTGCTGGCACCATGGACTAAACAAGGACTGCCTCCAAGCGTGCATCCAGTTAAGATCAATAAAAGAGGCAGGCAAGACATGCTGTGGGGTCGGTTGGTAAGGCATCTGTTGAGCAGGTATTCCAGGCAAGACATGCTGTGGGGTCGGTTGGTAGGTAAGGCATCTGTTGAGCAGGTATTCCAGGCAAGAGTCCATAGCTAGATGGCACCGTGGTCACCGCAGTTGTCATGTAAGGGTTGGAGATCTCTGGCGCTGTCAACATAGACATTCAGGGGGGTTGTAGTAGGCAAGGGTGGTGTAAGCACCTGAGATGTTGTGGAGGCGTAGATCTGCGCAGTCGATATGGTGGGAGTGCTTTATTCTCCTAATGTGTTGTCAGCGTATGAGAGGAGCTGAGGTGATGTCGTCTGAGGGGTCACAGTGGAAGCAGAGGTCAAAGATGAAAAGGTGGTAGACTGCGACTAAGTGGTAGTAACAGAAGACGATTGAGATACAGTGATGTCAGATATCATAGTGTGTCTACGAGCATGCTGAGTTTGTCACTTCCTTGCAGCTCTTAAGTAGAGAGAGAAGTCCTTTAAAGCAAGGGGACTGCAGAAGCAACAATGTGACGATGTCGAACAGGGTTCCTTGCAATCCAGGCACAAAGGATCCCTGCTTCCGTGACAAGCAATACAACGAGGCACAAACCATAAACAACACAAAAGAAAGTGAAAACGAAGTAGAAATAAGAAGCAAAGGATGCTGGATAACTGGAGAGGCTTTATTTCTCAACAAAACGTCTGTCTGTCCGTGTTGGCAGACAAAGTAGCAATGTGCTGTTATGTGAGGTCACCACTTCTGGGTCACGTGGCAGCTGTGTGTGGGTATCGCTACACCACTGGTTGGAACAACTTCTTCTGCAGCTGCACCTCTCATGGCCTCGTCTTTCTGTCAAAAAACAGCAGTAAATGCAGGATAAGATAAAAAATACAATTATTTCTTCAATATGAACCTAAGTGTAGCCATTGTACTATTTCTAAATTTACATCAGAATCTACTATGAACTCATTAAGCAATAATCACGTAAAATGTTTAATTGGCTTCATGTCCCCTTCATGTGTTCTCTGTCCATCACGTTGTGACAGTATTATCCTCCTGTTGTCATTACTTACTCATGTTATCCCACTCATGTATACTATGATTGTTACTGTTAACATGGTTAATCCTCCACCTATATTCTGTACAATGTCCCTCATTCAGTCTTGCTTGACAACGGTATAAGGATCTGTATTGAAACTATCTTTTTACAGTATTAAAGAAGTTGTTATCCATAAATTGTCTACTCCTATGTAATGCCTATCAAACAATTCATGTATACATGTATCACCCTCTACCTGACTTGATGTAATCGCTTCCTACCGCATATGACCCTTTCATATGGGAATATGCAAATAATCATTCTCAATGAAACGTGTGTCTCCAACGCATGTGCAGAAAGCCCCTTGTTAATGCCTCCAGAAATATGCTGGATGTGTATTTGGTTCAAATGCAGCCTGTAAGCATGGAAAGTATTGTACTACATAATGAAAATTGTTAATGGTATACCATACATTTTCTCAGAACTTTTCAGCCACTCCTAGTGTATTGACATCTTAAGGGCATGTAAAGTCAACAAAGCAACTTTGCAGATATTAATACTTTGGGGCATACTTAATCACAAATACTTGTCCAAAATTAAATAAAAAAACGGAAATAGCGTAAAACAGATGATTAAATATGACAGGCGAAATAGTCCTCCAAATATAAACTTCTGACACTGAGGGGATTCCTCTTACTGGGGTTAAGATGGGTTCCCAGTGTTAGATGTGCAACACTATTTCAATGACCATGAAGATCGGGTTGATGCCGAGGACGTTTTAATTCATTATGTCTTTTTTTTTTTTGCTCATCCATTGATTACTGTATCCACAAATTGTCACCTTAATAACAAAATGGCTTCCGTTGTTCACTCTGGGGATTAATCCCTGACAGCCAAGGGCAGCAGGATATCAGTAACAAAATGCTACTTACCGACTGTCACTTGTTATTTTAATTATTATTCACAACGTCACACGCAAAGGTTGTTTCACACATTCAAGAATGTATGCAATGCTGGTGTTTATAAATCTAGGAAAAATGATATTCGCATCGAATCACAATAATTTTTTTCACTTTACTTGGCCCTAACACACATCCAAGTCAGATATGAAACACTGGTATCTGGAAAAGTAAACTGTCAGTTTATCAACATTGTGTCATATGTTTGTCAATATTGTTTGAATAACATAACTGTCCTTTTTAGACCAAATCAGCTTGGGCCAATTAGAAATCAGGACTGGTGAGGATTTGTTACTACCATGTTCAGGTTAGCCTGAACCTTGAGCTGCAAGTCAACTAATGGTTGATCATGTCATAAATAAACAGGAAGCAAACAAAGCAAGACATTTTCTCCCAAGAGATACAGATGCTTATAAGTTTGATTTTAGTTTCTAGTGAATATTTTCACTTCTGAAATTGGATAAGATTGGAAGAGACTGTAAAAGTGAGTGAGTATGACTGCTTTTAGCAATATTCCAGCAATGTCACAGCAGGGAACAACAAAAATAGGGTTCACACATTGTACCCATGTCGGGAATCAAACCTAGGTCTTCGGCGGACGAGCGAATGCTTTAACCACTAGGCTACCCGACCGCCCCTTGAGAATCAGTGAGTTGTACTGCTTAGAAAAGTATTTCAGTTATTTGATGGTGTGTCAGCTTCATGTGGGAGGAAAGCTCGAAGTGATGCAGGTCTTACACGTATACAACTTTGGTGAAACCCATGAACACAGACATAATCAGGCTAAGCGGGGAATCGTGTGTTGTGACATGGTGACATTTTAGCCTGATGCGAAAGATGTTATGTAAATGATTTAGACATCTAACTACAGTCTATGACTGAAAGTATACAGAAAATGACACTCACAATGAAATCATCAAGTAGGATTTGAAACTTATGAAAATGTACATGATCATGAATCAAAAGTTTATAACTCTAAAGTGAGTTCGGCTAACTCATCACACACATGATTTAAAAACAACAGACCATTGCTGGCATTACGCATGTTCGTTCGTGCACCCTACCTCTCCATTCACACTCCGTTAACACTAGGTGGACCACTTCATGATCAATAGTATCTTGGAACATTTCCTGAATCTCTTGGTAGAGCTTGTCTCTTTCCTTTCTTTTAGTTTCACTGAGGTTGTCAGTTCCAGCTTGAGTTGCCATCTTCTGTGGACTTGAACTACGATTCCTGGTGGATCTGGGCATGTTTTGTTTGATATATATTTATATCCAATACCTGAAAGTGTAAGAATATAACTAGTTCTATATCAGTATGTGTTTGCAATCAGTATAGGTGATCTGCAGTGTTTACGTTAATAAACATCGGGGGACAGAGATTGACAGGAATACAACTCATGAATAAAGAAAGGTTGGATGAGATTAGGTTAAACATCATGGATGTGTGTCTTCTGATGTTGGTTGCGAATTATATCACACGATATCTTCTCACGACACCAATATTGTCATCTTGTTCCTGAGTATTTACGTTCGCACATTTGCGCAATACACTTGCGCAGATTTGCCTAAAGATACGATGTTACGCTAAATACGATTGGTCACCATGTCCCCACTGCGCGAAGTATTTCAGGGAGGAATATTTACTGTATCTGTATTAGAAAGACCAGCATGCTACTATCATTTCATCAGATCAAATATTCTGTTTCGAGTTTTGACAAGAATGTAACAAGCGCACTCTGACATTACAGAATCATGAATCGAAATCAATTACATCCAGGAAGTGTTTACCGACAGCTGGCCAATCAAGAACTGCGTTTCTAAAGTCCTTGACATGGGCATACGAAGGAAAGGCTAGCCTTTCGCGCCGTTTCCTGCCGAAGCTGTCGGTTTGGATAAAAATAATACTTTTCACAACATAAGACAACATCATAAAGGTGGTTTGGTTTAACGTTCAAATTTTGTTATCGTTGCTCTCACTGAGTTGGGCATTTGAAGTTCATTTCATCGGATTTTCAGGTAAGTTTGTGCAGAGATGTGTCTCACAGGTTTGCACTGAATCCATCATGGCCGCTTCACCCACAATCTTTGTGTTGAAAAACTCTTCATAAAAACATGCAATCCTAAAGAAATAGTTATTGTTTGAATCCGAAATGTAGTAAATAGAATAAGGAAAGCGTCGTAGAATATTGGTGCATAGGTGTGTACTGCGTATTTAATTTTGATGTACCCAAATACGAACATTTTCCATGCACACTATGACGTGAATTTCTTTTGAGATCAAAATTACATTTTGAGTGTGAACAAACAGACAACATTTATCATAACAGGATTAAGAATCCCATGTTAGATTATCACCATCTGTATGTTCAGAGAGACTTAAATGTTGCCTAGATGTGTAGTGTTACCAGTTTATTACTCTCAAGGATTCGTGCTCAGAAGAGCACTTCATGATTTTTTTTTCAAATAAGACATCTTGTGCACTTATGAGACAAAATAATATTTATAACATCTTTTAAAGCATTCATATAGTGCACGAAGTATGTTAGTGTGGCGATATAACGATTAATTTTGTGAAAGACGCCCGTAGCAGGCTGGAACAAGCTGAATTTATGTCTCTCTCTCATTGGTTGGTCAATAAGGCTGCAAGAGTAGTATCCCTTCAATTGAGCTGTGAATTTCCTTGTCGACAGTCATTTGTGTCAATGATTTTCTCGATTTGATCCTTAAAGGACATGAAAGAAATTTAAATCTATTTAAATCTATTTAAATCTATTGCACAACTTGTATTCTCCATGACAGTAATTACCTGACACAAGTAAAGGTGAAAATGTTTTAAGTTTTTACTGAAATCACGGACTTTATATAGGTCCGTGCTGAAATCAACTTAAAGATTATTGTTTATAGATGGCCTGAAGAGGCTTGTTGGATCTGAAAACGCTCACCAATAAGGATTAATTTACTCCCAAGTTCATGATCAGGAAATATTCTTCACTATGAACATGATTAACCCATGTTGCCAATAAAGCTTTCATATGTTACAAATATATTGTGTGTATATACATTTGCTGTAAATCATGAAATTAATGCCAAAACATAGTGCCTTGCTCCCATTAATTATGTGAAACTTTATTATGTGGACATATTGGAGTTTGTTATCACGTTGGGGTCACTGCACATGCCGACAACAAGGCCCGAATAAACAATGTAATGGAGCATGTCTCCACAAGTATTGTTTCAAGTGTGATCATTGGTTTATGTAAGTTGGTCAAGCAGTTATGAATGTCATCACCCACTTCTAACCCATGTGTTAAAATGTCCAGTATAGTAACAGCATTTGTGGTGTATGCATTCATAGGATTGCACAAATACATGTAAACACATGGAAACTTTTAGTTTTGCAGTCTTTGTCGGATGACCTCACCTATCTCAAGTGACAATACTTTTTTTAGAATGTCGTGCTCTTGATTTTCTGAAGTTGGATTACATGTCAAATGCAGAAGTTAATGACTAAGTCTTTGAAAAAGGCATATGGTATTTTTCAGTTGAAGTGCTCTCATCCTATGCCATATCATGGAATTCTCCAGTCTTTATGTCTCTTACTTCCAAATGGATATTTAAACACGCACTAATAAGGGATGATGCCACCAGATAGGCGCTGGCCACTAGTCTGATACTGGTGATAATCTAGAAGGACTAGTTGATTTCTTCCAAAATCTAGCTATGTTACATAAACCACTAGTCTGAAATGAGCCTCGGGCTGGTTGGATTTGACCAAGTGTAATCAACCCAAGGAATATGTACCTTGAATGTGAAACGGGACTTAATAATGGCAGATTCAGGTTTAGACATGACCACAGTCACTAGTCCATGAGCATGAAGAGTCCCAAGATTATATAGCAGGACTACTCGTTATCTCCAAAAAAATAGAAAACTTTCATAAACCACTAGGTCTTAATCCTGCTTAGGAATCAAGTCACAATGTCTACCCCTGCAGAAATTGCTGTATAGCTTGTAGTCCTGCAACAAGGAAAGTCCTCCATTCTTATCATCCCTCAGGTGATACTTCATGCACCGTGTCCCTGTGGCAGTCTGTTCTTCATCCATTAGTCCAAAGCCCCTCTCTAATAAAATTCTTCCGCCAGGTTATGAGCAGATGATACTAGTCCATATACAAGGACTAATATCTACTGAAAATACTGACTCAATGTTTTAGCACAGACTGCCTCTGTAGTAGTGCCAAAGCTGTGTAGAACACTACTCGGTGAAAGCAGCAGGCACACAGTATGGGTGTCATTGATTGGAAATATGATATCGATGTATACTCAGAATTATCACAATGTATCGATTATTAATACGGTGAATTATTCTGTATTTGTATAGATAGAGATTACCGCTATATAGACCTGCAATTTAATTTAAAATGTGGGACAGGCTGATCCCCAAAATGTTCAGAATTGAATTGTCTGCCTTCCAATGGTCAATCTTAACCATGGTATTCTTAAAAAATGTATCCATATTTTCTTGTGTATAATGTTCACTTGAGTATGATGCACGCACCCATTTCTAGAGTAGCTGGTGTAGCGGTGAGTTGGTGTGGTGTGCTCTGACCACCAGTTCCTGCATGATTTCACTGAAAGTCATTTAAATAATATTGAATGAGATTTTGTATATATTGAACACTGTTTGTGACCTAATAGTGTGTGACGGGATTAACTTGTGTACTCTCAGCATGTCTCGTGCTCATCCCCCATCTCTACAACTGTCGGTGGAAAGGTGTGCACTAACGTATGTTTCTGTGATTTATTTATTTACTGTAGATATTCATAAACTTGTATTGATACAGTATCGTCATTGGAAAGTAAAAGTACATCCATATTGTGATGTCTGACATGCCTGCTACACACTGACTAGTTCTGGAAGCCTGTAAGGACCATGTTTCTACAAACAGTTCTAAGCTTAGGCTACTTGGTGCTAGCAGTGGTGTAACAATGATAACAGTAGGGTAGTGATGTTGGCTGCTATAGTCAGTAAATCTAGCTTGCTTTGATACAAACATATTTATTTCCATAAACACATGATAAAGTGGACGATTTGTCAAACAAGCAAACTTTGCTTATCTGAATGCCTCTCCCAAACATAAAAATTACTAAAGTATTGAAAGTGACATGAGAAATAGAATACAATACATAATTGACATTAGAGATAAGTATTGTTCTGTAAGTGTTTAATTACTGGATTATCTTTTGTAACTACAGCTACGTTATTATTTACATCCAGCACAACAACGTCGCAGTATCATATAGCAAAGCCAACATCTCAGACAAAATATCTAAATTGGCAAGAAGATAGAATAAAAATACACTGATTTAAAAATTTCAAGATTTGCTTGATTTTGAACACTGTATCGATTAGAAACAATTGCATGATAGAATTTAAGGCTTTCGAAAAGTCGCACTGAACTTTGAATGGTTAATTATTATCATGTCTTTCAAATTTGCTTTTTTTTTATCAGAATCAAGTGAAAATTCATCATGTGTACCAAATTTGCTTTTTTTTATCAGAATCAAGTGAAAATTGACTCCTGAATCCATAACAAAATGCAGGAAATCATAACAATTACTCGATACATGCATGAGTGTTTCACTGATTACTCATGTTCAAAGGTTCAGTGACATCATCAAGTTCCAAATTGGAAATATTCGACAGGTCTTCAAAGTTTTAAAAGTTTGCCAGGGATTTATTTAGGATTCTCAACTTAGTGCCACTGACCGGCGACCCGTGAAGATTCCGGGGTAGAATAGGTCTTCAGCAACCAATGCTTGCCGTAAAAGGCGACTATGCTTGTCGTAAAAGGCGACTAATGGGATCGGATGGTCAGGATCGCTGACTTGGTTGATGCATGTTATAGATCCCAATTGCGTGGATCGATGCTCATGATATTAATCACTGGATTTTCTGATCCAGACTCGATTATTCACAGACCACCGTCATATAGCTGGATTATTGCTGAGTGCGGTGTAAAACAACCAACCAACCAACCTGACCGGCAAATAGGGAAGAAATTGTTGTTTTGTTCAAACTGACCGGCAAATAGGGAAGAAATTGTTGTTTTGTTCAAACTGACCGGCAAATAGGGCGAGAAATTGTTGTTTTGTTCAATCTTGGGATGTTTTTTTGAAAGATCATATTTTCTAAAATTCAGAGGGGTTTGGGGATTGTTAATGCAACAATAAAAGGAAGCATAAAAACCTTCCTATTTGTTGGTCTGTTTTAAGTGAAATACAGGTTACTTCTACAAAACTATAATAGTTATTTATAAATTGTAACATGAATTTGGAAATTTGTAGTTCCAATTTGGGAATATTTACTGACATTTGCACCAGACTTAGGCCTCTGAGTGGGTCTAGATACATCCCATTTCATATTTATTTTTTAGTGTTTTTTGACACTGAGGTTTCAAAAAAAATAAATCCACTATTGATGACTGTTTTCTTTTAAATTCTGTCATTCAGCATTACCTTTCATGCAGAGGAGGTATATTTTATGTAGCATTTATTGATTT